GGTTAGTCCGCGATAAAAAGTTTCTTGCGATCTGAGGCCGCTGTTGTTTAAAGTTAAATTGCAGCAACAGTATTGTTATCGGTCATCCCTGAGACCGGCTGCTAACATCCATTTGTGACGTCTGCCTTTGCGATTACCGATAAATTCAGTTTTCTTGATTGGTCGCGCGATTTCAAGTGGCCATATTATATGGCGAGAATATATGGCAATATATGGGAATAATATATGGTAATAATATACGGCAACAAAATATGGCAACAATATATGGCAACAATATATGGCAACAATATGTGGCAACAATATATGGCAATAGAATAATATAGGACAATAATTCATGGAATATATTTTTCGTTACAAGAGTCAATGCAAATTTGCGGCATGCACAATGTAATAATAAAAGTAATAATAAAGTAATAATAAAAGTTCTTTCTGCGAGCTTTGAGTCAGACACTCACCAATGATGATATTGATGATGTCCTGTTGCATCCAACCAGATCCACCAATGTCCGCCCATGTCCGCTGCCGCTCTCCATGTCGCGCAATATCCATCTTGCAGCTCGTCCCACGGTGATCGCTACACTTTCATCACACTTCCGCGACGCGGTCGATACGCGGTATTAGAACGACGATATTTACATCAATTAACGAACGTTTTACTCGCCATCGGTGGAAACTTTTTGCGCGCTGCGAAACGGACTCTATAAACTCGATCGGCGAGGAGTAAGAACCGTGTGAAAATTTATTGACTCGTCCAACGGATTTTACGGTGCTTTTCGCGATTGCGTCTGAAAAGTCGCGAAAATGTGGGATTATCGATATCTACGAGTGAAATATTCGCGACGCGAATGCACGCGAGGAAAGATTAGACAATCAGAAACCGGTCCCCCTTTGAGGGGGGGAGCGCAAAGAGAAAGGAGCGGGGCAAAGTTTTCACGCATTATAGCTCTGTCACGACGAAGCTTATGTTCACGATACTTTGGCGAAATGAGAATTTAAGTTTTCTTTGTTAGCAACGCGAGTAAAAACGCGTATATTGACAACCGCGGTCACGATATTCAAAGGCACGCGAGCGAGGATACCTCAAGCTCGGCGTGCGCTGGCGCAATTTCTACGCGCATTATACGCTACTCGAGACAATAGGGATTGTGATGAATGAACAATATTGCCAAATAATTCTACAGCCTGTTTTGCAAATAAAAGAAAAGTAGCTAACGATATCGGCATTTAGGTATGAATATATTTTATACGGACAATTGAATATTGTCAAATAATTAAATCGTTAAGTAATTCTGCGGCCCGCTTGAAAAATAAAAATAAAGCAGCTGATGTCGGTGTCGCGTTTGTACATATGAATATTCTCTTATTCAGATGACTGAACATCAAAAGAGAATCATTCAGTATTTTAAATCTTGTATGTAATGCAGGCTATCGATCAAGTAATCCCCTGATTGTTTCGAGCAATGTATTTTATTCAACGTCACAAATACACACATGCAAGTATCTATTTGCAATTCGCATTGACTCGAACGATATTTTATTTTATTAGTCCCACACATTCGTCATGCAGAATTTTGTTTCTCTTTTCATTTTGACTCACCGAAACGACTTGCAGTCAGAGCCGGCCACGTTCCGCTTCAACTCTGTAACAAAAAATTCACATTTGCTCATCAGATTTGACCAACGAGTGCGGGCGAGTAAAAGAGTAGTTTACCCTCTGCGATCGTAATTCAAGTCGAGCCGGAAATTATATCCCAGCTCTAGATCGCCAAGGGTCAAACAGAGGACTATAGTAAACTTGTAAACTTACCTTCAAGCCGACTCTGCTTCGCCCGAACCGGATCCTCCGGTGCGGCATCCGCGTCCACCGGATTGCTGTTGCTTTCCGCAACAACTGAAACAGAAAAATCATTTTCCCGGTTGATAACCTGCGGTAGAGAGAGAATATCTTTGATCGGGACCAATCGAAAATACGGATATATTTTGATACGGAATTATCTTTATATTTTGTTCCAACATTGAAAATTTAAATGGGACTTGAAGCTTTCAAGAGAGCTGATGAGGAACAAGTTACAAAGGCAAAGATCGTAAAGAGTTGAACACAGATGTGTAGGAAACTTGTAAACTTTACCTTCCGGCCGACCCTGCTCTGCCCGAACCGGATCCTCCGGTGCGGCATCCGCGTCCGCCGGACTTGCTTCCCGCAACGTCTGGAACAAAAATTTACCATTCTTGGTTGGTAAGCTGCGGTAGAGAAAAAATGGTTGGTCGGGATGAGTGGAGAATATTCGCTACGATTTTTTTCTTTATTGATATTGAATGTCTAGATAGGAGCTCTTGAAAGAGCTGACGAAAGAAAATGACAATAAGAAGCGGAGACAACAGTTGTGTGCTCTCGAAAATATTCTTTTACGGATGGACATTTAAATTCAGATCCCGTAACAAGAGTAAACAAACTTGAAAGAAACGCTGACCGAAAACAAAAAAGGTCGCAGTCTAAGAAGCGATATGACGTTAAATATTCTACACAAGACCAATATTCTCACACAGAAATTGGGAATGATTCAGAATGTTTGATTGAGAACATGATGAATTCGAGATCCACGTCCATGGACCGTTATCCGTCTCTGTCTGGATCAATATCTTTTGTATACAACAACGCAATAAATAGATAGACAGACAGAGATTGACGAGAGTAATTGCAAATTCATAAAGTGATGATTACTAGTCGGATGATGACGGATTGTGAATGCCGAGCGCGAAATTCCGACTTCTTATTCCCGGAAAATTCATCAAACGTACGCTCTCGTTATCGGAGACCTCCCGCGTAATAAATGATTCCACATACCTCGAAACGTGACGTATCGTTGCCGGCGTTCTGCTTCTCGACTGCTGAAGTCCTTCGGATTTCACTCGCTCACGCTTCTAATGCTGATACTCGCGATTCGATCGTGCAGTTAATGAATGAGATGCCGACGCGATGCCGATTGAGTATCTCGAGGACCGACGAGATATATTTCTTTTAATTACACGAGACGGAAGTGACGAGAGCGTCGCGCACAGCTGCTGCTGATGGAATGAGATCGAATACATGAGGTGCGCGAGTATTATAATACGAAGGGCAAAAAGTGTCGTCGCTCGCGAGCCGATCAACACAATCGGCGCGATGTAAACATTGCGGGCCTCGGCGGCGGTTGAAGCAAGAGAGACTTGCCTTTGAGCGTCTCTTGTTTTCTCGAAGGTTCCGGGACAACGAGGGGAATGCGAGGAGGCCTTTCAACTGTACGCGACATTGATGCACTCTATTGATTACTGAAAATAAAGAAAATTACTCTGTCGAAGCATCGGACATTTGTTGGCTTTATGTTAATTAAAGAGGAATGTATACGATTAGAAAATGTGTTAGCAACTAATTGTACAGAGTGTAAGTTGTTGTGACGCCGTTTTCAGAGAATAATTAAAGGTCATGGTAGCGTTAAAGAATGGAATTTCATCCTATGCGAATTTAGTCGCGCTCTTATTAAATATTAGTCCTGTATAAAATGTCATATTTAAAAGTATTGTTTCACATTCACGAGATTTAGTCGTGAATTCTGCTCTCAGATTGGATCGCGGGTGAATACTTTTTAATGCGACGGGGAATAGAACGTGAAAATCTTGTATGCCTCTATAATCCGAAAACGATTAGGAGAAAAAGTGAATATTTTTCAATACGAAAGTTTGCATTTAAAAATTATCGATTGCGATTGAATACAAGGCATATTTGAAACGAATTGAATCCTTGTTAATGCGAAGCATTCACTACTGCCATCTCGCATTTAGCGCGGTGAAATTTAATGGGAACTAATACTTTTTATTTTTCCTTTCTTCGGATCAGAAAGCAGAATTCAGACGTATTCAAAATGTCAATACTTTTTAATATGTTTCAGTTTGACATTTTATACAGGGAGATTATCCGCTACGGACAATTACTCTTCTACTTTTCATTTAATATTCAATGATGATAAATAACATTTAATTGCATTCGTTTGGCTTTTTTTATTTCGAAAATAAGAAAATATATACCGGGGTAAGATTTTACCCATGACAACATTAACGTGATTTTCTTCTATGCTTTTTTTAAAAGTTCAAATATTTCGTCGACTCGCGGGATATTTATAATCGGAGTCTCGTCACGTTAATTACGTGAATAACACGTGCTCCTCCGAGCGGATCGAATGCTCACCGACGGCCACTGTCAGTGCCACGAGCGAATGTCCGGAGCGGACGGGATGCTGAATTAAAAAACAAGACGAAGTGAACGGGATGCGGACAACGATACATCATGCGTCTCCATACATGTCAAATTGTTTATTATAGAAGAGACTTTGATACGGCAATATATATTCGAAGGTTTAACATTTAATACGTACTTTTATTTTTTCTGCTCCTCCCCCCCTCGCCCCTGCTCTTTTTAAACCAACGGGCATAGTCTGGCATAGAGATGGCAACTCATTGCAGCACGGACATAAACCGCCTGAAATGTAGCATGGACTTCCACCATATGCAGATTTTACCACCGAGACCTGAAAGTGGATGTACTATCGTAGTTCCCCTCTCAAAATGGATGCAGATGGCGTCCTTTCCCAGTGCGGAAAGTCAGTGTCGCAGAAAATGTCGTATTGGCCGCTCTCAGGTTACTCTCTGCTGTTACGAATATCGAAAAACGCTATGAGACTTATATTTATTTTAATCCAGTCTATATTTCCACGAGCTCTGTAAAAATTGTTCTGCAACAACCTGTATACAGGATGTCTCATAACAAAGCGCGCGCGGTCCATTGATCCAGCGACTATTGCCACCGCGGCGAGGGGAAGAATAACGCGCCGCTCCTCGTATTTTATCTCTGTTGTTTAATCTACTATTCAGTCACGCTATTGAAAAATAAGAAAAAAAGGTTCGTCTGACTTAACGTGTGACCAGAAAAAAACAGATTCGGTATAAAAAATTCTAATATTTCTTGATCAATCATGTCGATGATAAATATGATCTATTTTGCGACTGATAACCAATCATTTCTCACAATAACATTTGCAAGAAGCTTTTTATTATTTTTTGTGAAATATAAAAATATGTTTCAATTATAACGCAATGTGCAAAATGTGTGCAAAATTCTAAACGAGAACATTGTTTAGAATTTAGTCGTGATTTCAAACACTGGTTGACAAAATATTAATCTGTCGTGTTTCAGATGTATCTCGATTCTAGTGACCCGCTTAAAATCTGCTTCGTTCTATGTGATATATTGTATTATTTATATATTTAAGGGCTATCTCTTTATTAACTTAAACTTGAGCTCTCCATCGGGCGCGTACATAAACGTGACCTTATATTTTAGCGGCTTGTGGTGATATTCCAGTTTGTATAACCTCAGAAGCTGCAACATCATTATTCTTACAATGACCGTTTTTAATTAACATTTCGTAACGTTGTTCATCATTTCTTAAGCTTGAAAGATACGACAAAGAGATGGCAAGAGGCAAGAGAGATGCGCAACATTTTATAAGCCAACGCACCTTGGCAAGTAGCACTTGCATTTCGAGATCCGCGAATCGCCTACCCAAGCACATCCGTGCCCCGTAACCGTATGGTAACGACGCGAACGGATGTAACTTCTCGTTACTGCCTTCCTTGAGCCACCTCGCAGGTTTGAAGATCTTCGCATCTGCTACGTATTCCTCCATGTTGCCGGTGACGAGCGTAGGAAATACGACTTGAACCTAACATTACACACGTGACTGTTATTAGTTACCCAACAGATACAAAAATTAATTACATTAAGTCAAGTCATATATTATTATTGTTGTATTAAATTGAACTCTATTGTCAAATTCACACAAAAATACATTTAGAAAAAGAGAAAGGAAGTTACTTACGACTCGACTTAGTGATTCGATCAAGTTCGTTAAGTTTGTAAGCGAAATATTAGAACTAGACATGTACTCCGAAGAATTATAGCTACAAGCGATATAAAAAAATAAAAGCAGATGTTAAAAGCAGCGTCTCATTTTGATGCAGGTAGTTTCAGTTGCCGAAGATTACGTGTCGAGCATGATGAGATTCTTATTATGCGGAACGGATGTGTCGTGAATGGTGAAATATCATGCCGGAGAAGCAACGTACTCCTTTTGGAATTTTGTAGCCACAGATGATGGTATCGTTCTGTAGCGTTCTGCCGTTACCAATAACGGTGGAATAAACTCTGTAAACATAAAATATAAAAATTATTATATATATGTATATATTTATATTTATTATTATAATATACACGCACGTGCGAGGGAAAAGAGATTGGTTGAATTGGTGTGATTACGAATGAACTAAATAAATCAAATTTTCGTTGAAGGAAACGGAATTTTTGCTACGAATCAAATTCGAGTCCGCAGTCTACTAGTATTATTACATAAATGCTTATTAATATCACCTAAATACTTCACGGATGAAAGCCTTCGTGTAAATAGCTTGTTCTAAATGCTTTGTTGTAAGAGGAACGGAAGGGTCCGGCAGTATTTGCAGCAGCTCCTGATATATCTTCTCCTGTTCTTCCGGTCTAGTCGCCAATTGATACAATATCGAACACACCGCCATCGATATCTGTAATATTGCGTCATAATGTATTTACCTCTTAGAAAACGCGACATCCTACTTTTAGTTCGGAAAGTGTAAAGAATGAAAACCGCGCATGCGGCTCGACGCGCATCGCATGTACTTCGATTTGTTTGACTTTCAATTTCGACGTCACGGCCATAAACGCAAATGCACACACTGTGCCGGCTCGATTTTATAATTGTAATACTCTTCAAACATTTACACGGCACGCGCATATCTCACAGTTATCTAACTGAAAGCGTTCAGCGCGATGCTCGTGCTTTCACTAATTTGAGGTCATTATGAGTTCGCAAACCAAAAATCAGAAAGCGCGCGGTTAACCAGACAGTGACAATTAATATTAGCCGAGTTGTGTGAATCGATCGCGGGTGGTAGGCATGTTGATGTGTGAAAATTTCACGCGGCACCGATGGTTTATGTTAGGATTCTAAAGGGTTAATTTGCACTGTGCTTATCGTGAACTTGGCTATACAATTGGAGTTTAGAGGATACGATTGAGATAACTTGCCGTATCAATGCCGACTAATATCAGATCGAGGGCGAAAATGTAAGCCATCTTGGGATCCGCTTCTTTGGCTAAGATTCTCTCTACCAGCGACAAGTCGCTCTCATCGACTGCTTTCTTCTGCTTAAGTCTGAATATCGCGGCGTCGATGTACTTCATGCATATCCTGTGATTAGACATTTGGTTGTGTGATTATCGAATTTAAAATGTCACTTGCATCAACGTTACGTCTCGAGAATATTATCCATTTATAAAATGTGAGACGAGTTGAAAAGAGAAAGAGGATTACTTTTGAAAAACCTCAAACGTACTTAATTTGCTAAATAAGGAAATGGACTTTGAAACATTCCCCATCGCTTTCTAATCTCGGTTCGGGTGTGCGTTTAGTGATCTAAATACCGAATATGGGATGAAAAAGAATCCGCTTTCACATAGTTGAACTCCTAATAAGGTGTTCACTCGCTTCACTATTTGACTTTACTCTACGAGTATCGAAAGAATTTGACAAAAACGAAAGAAAGTTCGGCGTGTATAAACTTAATCACATGCTTCAGGCACAAACGTTAAGGTCTCTCCGTTCAAGTCGAGACGCCTGTTGAATGCCTTTGGAACTCTTGCCAATTTCTTTCAAGTGACGAATACAAAACAAAAGTGTTCTCCACATACACAATCCGACGGAGTGAAACTTTTTTCTCGCTACACTCTCTTTAGCTGATTTGTCTTTCTACGGGGGAGTCACGCCCAACGTGTTTTCCGATGAACCTACTCGATGAAGTAATTCATGTTGCGCACGTAACGGCTCCAGAGGGGCGTCGGAATATATCTCCAGTAAGGAGCCTTGAGCTCTAGCACGGCCACGTTCCTCAGCGCGAACTTAGCGGCGTCGATTATCTTCTGCGGCTCAGAATCCGGCAAGGTATCGCCCAAACATCCCAGTCGGACGTCCAGTGCGACCCGGCCTATACCTGCAGGCGTGAAACGCACAAAACATGACTTGGAAATAATTGCAAGTATCCTTCGTTAGCGAAGAGCTTCTTTGGTACATTCTGCGCGGGTACGTGCCTACCGGCAATTCAATTATAAATAATTACGCGGTGCTTTATATGGAATAGCTACTGACACTCAAGAGCCCACTTGTGTATCTCGTTGTCGAAGTCGGCCGGCAATTCCCCGTCGTCCGCTTTGATTTCCTCGATTCTGCAACACGTCAGCAATGCCGTGCAATTAGCGGGAATCTCACGTCGCATACCACCGCCGGCGGCGGCGCCGGGCCGGGCGTCTTTCTCAAACAACCATCGTCAAATATTTGAACAGCGTATTCCGAAGGTTAATTGCAGTCGAAAGTGTAATGATTGTAATGTCAAAATCGGTTTCACAAGATCGAGCCGGCTGCTGATATAATGTAAAAACGCGTAAGAGGTGATAGGGTAATTACCAATTACCCTATCACCTCTTACCCCGGAACCGGTCAAAGAAGCAAGTAATAATTTTTATTCCTGCTCGTGATAGCGGAAAGCGATTTGTCCAGTTCGGTGAGGGGGGAGACTTTCTCAGGCAGAACAACGAGTGCCACATGTTACGTGTGCGATTGCGTGAAAATGACGATTACGTCAAAATGACGAGGAAACGACCGGGTCGTGATTGAAAAGCGAGTTTTTTTCATAGTCGTTCCCTCGCCGCTCTGACGTCGTCGGTGTCATGACGAAGGAATGACATTTCTTTTCGCTACTTCCCGAATAATGTATTACATTTTCCAAAGATACATCTGTGAGACACCTTATCGATGATCCTGTACGCGTTCACGCTAGACTGTACGTTAGCGCGAACTTTATATGATATATCAAAGGTCAGCTTGTGGAATACTCGGGAATCTTCTAATCTAAACTCTCTCTTTGCCGTATTAAGACTTTCTCCACAATTATAACTTTCGGGATATGCTGTTGAGCGTCTTACGATGATTGCAAAACATGCGTACGCTTCTATGTGGCGTACCAGCTTTACCTCTTTATGAAATCCCTTGTGACCACTTCGATAGGCCCGATGTATTTCCTTACAGTTTGCGGCTGGAGGACAGGCTTCTGAACACGAGTACGAAACTCCTTCCAAGGCTCGCCGTGTCTGGCGTAAAAGAGAGGATTAGCGCGCGCAATTCAGGCCGAAGCAGAGAAATATAGAATGAACGGACGATGGTCAAGTAATTACCGCGCGCTTTCAAAAGCTGAGTATATTGTAAGATATGATTGCAATCTCCAGCTAACGACTCTTCCTGTCTTTATTGAGAAGTCAAACGGAGAGAAATCAAACGCTAATGTCGCAATTTCCGACAAACGCTCTGCTGCCCGCATTCGTTATTTTCCAAACGGACTTTCATTCATGAAGAAAATATAAAGCGCAAAATTATTCGTTAAATTGACATCGTTCATGTTAACGTGAACTTTTTTGCTCAAGACAAATTTACGTAACACGGATGCAACTTTAAGGGAATATGTAATAATTTGTCCAAAGTTACATTGAGACTTCACTCTTCATTTTATACGACATGTTGCTTTCGGTGAGTCTTCAGTAACTCCTTTCGCGCTTCTTTCGCAGTTTTACCTCGTCGTTTCGTGCGTCACAGATGCGAATCAATCACAGGAAATACAACGCTTACCGAACGTAAAAAGAAGTCGCAATAAAAAAACGTAGTGAAGTCGCCGCCGAATTTATATAGCCATTTATCTGGATATTCCTTTAATTCTTCGTTTTCTCTTTCCTTTCATTAACGACCCCAATTAGTCCACGTCGATCGGTGTGCGGATGCGGATTATCTAACGAACGTCACAGGAAATACTTACACACCGACAACTCCGGGCAGCTCGCCGAAGAAGTCTTTGCGCACGACACTCTTATAGTGCACGAGGCAAGGCATGGCGGGTCTGAAAGGCGTAGGTCCCTCTTGCCGGTACACCTTCTCGATTTCATCGGCGTCGTAGACGAAGAGCAGGTCCGGTCGACCCATCAGTCCGCCGAACCGCACGATCTTGCCGTACTCATCGTAGAACATCTGCGAGATGCGCGCAACATCCGAGATCTGGTACTGGCCGATCAGCGGCAACAGTCGCCAGGCGTTGCCGAGGATCGGTATCGGCCGCGGACCCGGCACCTCGTCGTATGATTTAATATGCGAAGGTGCGATGTTCTGCACATGAGGACACTCGGACACGATAGTGCCGTTGCAGAACAGTCGACCGGCGATTCCCCAACGGTGCGGCTTGTCGAATTGGAGCAGGCTAGATGACTTTCTGTAAACAATAATAGCATGATAATAACGACAGAGAATACAAATACTTGCTACGGTGAAATTTCAGATATTTCTCTGTTCGTGTCGCGATCCGAGAAATATTGAATTTTTTATTACTCTATGTGGTCGGTTTTATTTAATGTTTCGTTTTGTTTTACTTTAAATGAATTTTATATATCGTGCAGCTTGGTTGGCGCAAATTTCTACGAAATGTCTTAAAAACGCGTGAAAGACATTTGAAAAAGAAGGAAGAAAGCTTTTTAAACGCCTTGCGAACGTATTTTAGAAACTTGTGCTGCCTGAATATACGACTATAAAATATAATCGTATGTATCAGAATGAAAAAAAGGTAAATATATATATATTTTTTAAAATATATTTAAATATATATATATATTTTTTTTTTCTTAATGGCGAATTTGAAAGTTTAAGATCAAATATCATTCGTCTCGTGAATTAGCATATTAACGATGCGGTCGCCTTAAAATGAAGTATTGCGGCATTGTTGCTGTAACTTTGATCTATAGTCAAGTTTCTACTTTCACCAGATCGTGGCACAATAATTCGAATGCATCCTCTGCGATTAAACGGAAAATTCTCAATACGTTACGTTCTCTTATTAATATACATTACATTCTTTTAACTCGCAACAAATGCGAAGTGCACGAGACAAGAGTGAATAATTTACTATGGATAAACGGAAAAATCGATTGCGACTGATATGCGTCACGTTACATTCTCTTATTAATATACATTACATTCTCTTAACTCGCAACAAATGCGGAGTGCACGAGACAAGGACAATGAATAATTTACTACGGACAAACGGAAAAATCGATTGCGACTGATATACATCACGTTCTTTCATTATTACGCGTTATATTCGCTTTGAGCAAGTGAATGTATGACCTTTTTGTTTCCAACTTTATTTTCCGCTGTCTCTATATTTAATTTTAAAACTCTCAACTTCCACGTAGAGAAGAATTAAAATATTATTTTACGGCGCATTTACGAGTCGCCTCTGATTTAGCTGACTTTGTTGCCTCGCTAATACCCAAATCTGCCCTAGACGGACTGAAAAATTGCAAAGTGGAACGGTGAGAGTGCACCTGCACGAACGTACGAAAGTACCGAGCGTGACTAGATGAACTGCAAAGAGAAAGCGTAAAGGTTCAGACAATTGTTCCGATCAATGCTAGCGACGTCCGGAACAGTTTGAAACTGATTATAGCCGCGCGATACTTCAATTATCATACATTAACGCTTCCAGGACAGCATCGGTACATTTTTGCAGCGTGAGGCATTATGTATCCTCTCAGATAGAAAATATAAAAGATCAAGATGCTTGATGTAGATTAACATTACGCTTATAACACAAAATGAAAATAAAATTAATTTCCGCCTTTGTCACTGTTCGGCGGCAAAATTTCAATCGAAAAAGATCAAATACTCATCGGATCGACACGTAAAAAATAAAAAAAGAACGAAAAGGAACGCGCGAAAGAAAAAGAAAGAAAAAGAAGTAAAATTATATAGCTTTACCGGATCAATCGTATCGAATCCGATCAGAAAAAAAATATTTAAAAAATATTTTTAAAATATCAAAGAAACATTAAGAAAAGCATTTTTTAAAACGTTAAAAATAATTTTAAACGAGTTACTAACGTAAAATAAATATTAAATAAACATTAAATACATGTTAAATAAATATTCTTTCTTAATCGTTATTTTAAATAAAGAATTAATGTAAAATAAATGTTAAACAAATATTTTTTTAAAATGTCATTTTAAATGAAGAATCAATATATAAAATATACATCAAATAAACGTTAAATAAATATTTTTTGTACAATGGGTGGAAGAACCCAGTAAACATACATGTCTAAAAAATGTCTAAAAGATTTCTTTAAGATATCTTTTAGACTTGTATGTCTAAAAGACGTCTTAAAGAAATCTTTTAGACGTCTTTTAGACGTGTACGTTTACTGGGAAATGTAAAAAAATGTAAAATAAATATTTTAAAAACGTTAGAAAAATATTATCTGCTGATTGGGAGCAGTATCCGAGCACGCACCGTTTCCAGAAGCATTTTCGAAACAAAGTTTGGCAAACGGTTATGAAATGTTACATGTGTTTAGAAAACATATACTACCCAGGAGATTTCAATCTGAAGCACCACTCGAACGAGATCGCGGAAAGTTAAACGAGGACTCTCCTGTGAGGCATTTTCTCACACGATGCATATTCTACCTCACGTTTTCCAGATGGGAAAATGCTCTCATAGGCGTAGAGACCAAGGAAACCGAGTCCGTCTCAGTTACCTGCGAGTGAACCTGTGGTTAACTTCGGAAATCAACCCTTGCTTCGCAATCAAGATGTGAGCGCGCTTTACGCCGAAAGACAGCATCGTCGAAGGGCGAGATTCACTTTTTGTCAACGAGACCCTTTAGACTTGGTGAGCACCGTCGGTCGCGCAACAACGAACATGCATTCCTGGCACGGTATAGGGCGAAGGAGACAATGTCCTCTGTCACTTCATTCTCGTGGATGAACCGTTACTGAAAATGACGCGCATTGCGAGTGAGGAAGAAAGTCGGAGAGACGAGATCGGTGGGTGTTCCCCACTTGGCTGCGCTACCAAACTCTACTCGGTTGACTCTATGTGGAACATAGACAGTGGGGAACGGTGTAGCGGGTAACCGCGTCTGAATAAACGAGCATATCCGGACCGATCTGAAAGCAAACGAAGCCGTGGGAATAAATAAGTAAACCAAGCGAGTCATGCAATTCAATAAACGACCCGGACAGCGCAGGTGTTTGAAATTCAGGTGTCTTAGAGACACCTGAAAGTCTTCTCGAAAATATGCAGGGATGTCTTTCAGACATCTCCAAGACGTCTCTCAGGCTCTTGTTGATAATCGAAACTTGAAAGTTGCCTCGCGAGGAAAATATTCAGACTCGAAATTGGAATTAGATGTGAGCTTCTCATAGCTGAATCGCGATCACGAATGTGAGGAATCGTACGTGTCGTAAAACACAAAATAAAAAATTTTTAATCAAATGAGCGAAGAGGACTAAAAGATCAATTGGAATCGTCCGGTCGATCTGCGCTTCATCGCATCGCGCGCTTTATAACCGCACAACAATCATCGCCGTGATAACGGAAAATGCAAAATAGCGTGTAAAAATGTAATGAGAATTATGTTGTGTGACCACAAGAATGACGAGATGTGAATAATGTTACCTGGTAGTGACACTCGTGTGATGAAATTGGCCATTTGGGTATGATTGTGATGCGCAATTGTCGCAACCGGTAGCAAATGTGGGAATAAAGACGGGTCCATTTTTGAACGCTGCTTCGAAGAGATAAACGCGCCGGCAGCTTACAGATGGCGCCGTCTACACTTCCCTACACTCGGAAAGCACTTCCCCTTGCACCTTCGTGCATCATCAAATTCAAGAAAACGGAAGCAGAGAGGAAGCTGAGAGCAGCCAACACGGCGTTTTCGGCGACACCGATTTTTCGCACTGGAAATGGGCGCCATCTGCATCCATTTTGAGAGGAGAACTACGATGCTACATCCACTTTTAGGTCTTGGTGGTAAAATCTGCATGTGGTGGAAGTCCGTGCTACATCCACTTTCAGGCGGTTTATGTCCATGCTGCAACCATAGTTAAGCCCTAAACACAATGTCAGGCAACAGGCAATAAGAATAAAAATAGACCAATCACAATAGATTATTCTTGTAATAGTCGATTGTGATTGGTCTATTTTTATTCTTATTGCCTGTTGCCTGGCATTGTGTTTAGGGCTTTACTATCTCTATGCCAGACAATAGGCCTGTTCGTTTTGTCTACACTGCTGAACTGGTGTAACAAGTTGAAGTGAGAAAATCTATGTTTGTTTCACTTTAACTTAATGCACTAATTAAGCAGTGCAGACAAAACGAACAGGCTTTATGCCCGAAGGTCTAAAAAGAGCGGGGAGGGGGAGCAGGAAAGATAAAAGTACATATTAAATATTAAATCCTCTACATATATGTTGCCGTATCAAAGTCTCCTGTATAATAAACGATTTGATACGTCTGGAGACGCATGATGTATCATTGCCCGCGTCCCGTTCCCTTCGTCCTGCTTCTCAATTCAGCATCCCGTCCGCTCCGGACATTCGCTCGCGGCATTGACAGTGGCCGTCGGTGAGTATTCGATCCGTTCGGAGGAGCACATGTTAATTAACGCGATGAGACTCTGATTATAAATATCCCGCGAGTCGACGAAATATTTGAACTTTTAAAAAAAGCATCAAAGAAAATCACGTTGATGTTGTCATGGGTGAAATCTCACCCTGGTATATATTTTATTATTTTCGAAATAAAAAAAGCCAAACGAATGCAATTAAATGTTATTTATTATCATTGAATATTAGATGAAAAGTAGAAGAGTTATTGTCCGCAGCGAATAATCTAACATTTAATAAGAACGAGACAAAATTCGCATAAGATGAAATTCCACTCTTTAACGCTATCATGACTTTTAATTATTCTCCGAAACGGCGTTACAACAACTTTGACATTCTGTACATTCTGTAATTAGTTGCTAACATATTTTCTAGTCGTATTCTAATCGTACATTCCTCTTTAATTAACATAAAGCTAACAAATATCCGATGCTTCGACAGAATAATTTTCTTTATTTTCAGTAATCAATAAGTAGTAAATCAATGTCGCGTACAGTTGAAAGGCCTCCTCGCATTCCCCTCGTTGTCCCGGAACCTTCGAGAAAAGAAAAGATGTCCAAGGGCAAGTCTCTCTTGCTTCAACCGCCGCCGAGGCCCGCAATGTTTATATCGCGTCGATTGTGTTGATCGGCTCGCGAGCGACGACACTTTTTGCCCTTCGTTTGACGTTTGACGAATTTTCCGGGAATAAGAAGTCGGAATTTCGCGCTGCAATTACTCTCGTATATATAATAATAATAAATTATAATTATAATATTATGTAATTATAATAAAATGTACTTGTAAATTCTCTCTATATATATACGGTATAATGTTTTACTTAAGTTTATATAATATTATAATAAATGATAAACCTTCACTATAGAATATACATATCGAATGTGTATATATTCTACATATTTTGATATTTTTTTATTCAAAGATGTTATTCTTATTATAATTGACGAAATGTCAATGATATCTAATTTGACTTTAGAAAACTATATCGAACTAAAATTTAATTAATACATACATGACAGCATTTTTATTATAATAAAACGTTCTTGTAAATTCTCTTTATACATATACGGTATAATGTTTTATTTATATAGTATTATAATAAATAAATTATAAACCTTCATTATAGAATATATTCTAATAAAAATGCTGTCATATATGTATTAAACAAGTTTTAGTTCGATATAGTTTTTGGTGCAGCCGCGCCAAGATTTTTTGTATTAAATATTTTTTATTGCATTGTTATAATAATTAATTTGTTACAATAACAAGTAAAATAACCATATAACTCAGTGTTCTAATAAATAATGATAAATGTTACTTGTAAAAATTTATGGACATATTTTGTAGCTAGGTTTTCTTGAATATTTTGAATAACATAACCATTAAAAAGATATTTTTTTTTAATATTGAACACTATTAACAAACGTGTTAACTTTTTATAACACGATATAATTTCTACTTTTAAAAATTTATGTACATATATCTTACAAAAAAAATAATTTGATAAGTTTTACTTTTAAAAACTTATGTTATGTACACAATATTTAAAAAGATATTTTTTTTTAATATTGGACACTATTAACAAACGAGTTAAATTTTTATAATACGATATAATTTTTACTTTTAAAAGTTTATGTACATATATTATAAAAACTTATGTTATGTGCATAATATATATCTTAAAAAAGAAAATAATTTGAATTTGAGATTTCTAAAAATATTAAGTTAAGTATACAATAATCATATATATATATTAGGTCTCAGTTGGCGCTACTGTTCTAATATATCACTTCTTTTGTACAGTAGAAAAGTGTTGCAGAGTTTTATTATAGTTATAAGTTTTACTTGTAAAAACTTATGTACACATATATACAATAAAAAGAATAATTTGAGTTTGATACTTCTAAAAATAACACAATACGTGTTGCGCTTGTACTTGACGCCTTTTTTTTACCTTTCTATTTACAAAGTTTTATATAATATTAAATAAGTTTTATAAGTAAGTTTTATATAATATTAAATATATGTACGTTTCACATAACGTGATTGACTTGGAGTACTCCGTGCCCACGGTGTTATTCATAGCGACGCATTCATACTTTCCCTGATCTGTTACATCGGATTCGATAATCTGCAAGGGACCTAAAATATAAAATGTGATATTCTCGAACAGCGTTCCTCTCAGGATTTTCTTGTCCAAAGAAAGATCAATAATGCGATCGCAGATCTCGTGTACGTCATGTCAATAGAGACAGTTTGAATTCAGCGTAATATGATTCTTGAAACAGACGTAAGTAAGTAAGTATTGTGAAATTTGAAGCGAGTCTCTCACAAGCATGCTTTGAAAACACGAGTTGTTTTCATTTTCAGCTAACGGACGACGCAGGCATCAACACTGATCGGCAAGGTGGGGGGTAACCGTGCCTTCCCGATTGTTTGGTTTCGTACGCTTATATATGACTCCGTGATTGCGGAAAGGACATTGCGCCTCAGGCCGACAAACGACGCGCATACCGCGACGCAGAGTACGAGTGTCTGTTAATACGCGTTTCTTTGTCCCCGAATCTTACTTGCGCGAGTGTTAGAGCTAGAGTCAGTGTCGTCGCCAGTGCTACGATGGAGTATCCGCAGGTGCTGCGACGGAGTAACCAGAAGGAGGACGTCGGATCGAGAAGTCAGGATGGAGAGAGGACTCGGAGCGCACTGAGAGACGTAGCCGAGGACAGCGATACATCATGTATGGTATTCGAGGTACCTCGAGTCATTATTATTACGCAGGATTTTTCTAATTTTAACGGACCTTACTCGAAGTAAGGACATACCCGAGTCGAAATTAGATCAGCATTCATAGTTTATCATCTGAAAAATGATAAAATAGCTTGAGATTTGATTATTCGTTAACCTAATTTCACGTAACATGAGTTGTACTTTTCTTTTCTCATAAAATATGAATGTCCATTCAAGCAAGGTTGCTGAGGCAAGCTAAAGTTTATCAATACAAATTTGTAATTATGTTCTCAATAAAAAGTTGCACATAATTTAAAAAACTATGAATAATGATCTTAGAATTTGATATAAATTTTACAAGTGTTGATTTTTATTCGTCTAATAATGCTCAGATTGCTGTTTTCGTTTAGAATCTGCTAAAATGTCCGTTTCTCATTCTTGTTTATCTTTCTTATTGTACCGAATCTGAATTAAAATCTTTATTAGCGAAACAGCATTATTAGACATAACCGTTGTCTTTGTCTTTGCAGCTTCAGCTCTTTTGAGAGCTACAATTCTCATCATTCTCATTAGAAAAAAGAAAAGAAAAAAAAGAGAAGAAAAAAAGAAAAAAGAACTTTAAGAATGATGAGAATAAAAAGTGTTTTTCATCTCCCATTTCCTCTAATTCTTATATGATTATTTAATCCTTATATATTTATCTCATACGCAGTTCTAACAAAGACAGTTCTATTTACGTTTTTATCTTTGTTCTCTTTCTTGCGCTGTTAAGCGAATATGTAATCAATATCAACAAAAATTGCTCATTTAAATTAAGAATATAAGGATTAAGTACATA